GAGAGAGAGAGAGAGAGAGAGAGAGAGAGAGAGAGAGAGAGAGAGAGAGAGAGAGGACGGGCGTTACCAGGAACACAACGCATCCTCGTTTGGATGCACCAGACCGGAAAGATAGCTTGTATAGATTGGTTATCTTGTCAGGAACACAGTGCACTGTGATAACAAATGTATGCAAGCTATCTTTCCGGTCTGGTGCAACCAAAATGAGGGTGTGTCGTGTTCGAGGAAGCTTTTGCTGTGTGCACCCCCCTCCCCAACCCGCATCCATCCCAAAAAAAACGAGAGGAAAAAAAACTTTTTTCGACCCAAAAAGGCGTTGTACTCGTGCGTACGTCCACCCCCCCGCCGTACGCTATGTACGCGGCGTACGCCATGTACATAGCGTACATACAGATGCCTAGGTATATACTTACTACAAACTTGTGAACTGAAAAAAGTCCACTGATTCCAGTTGTGTCAAGCTTCAGAGACCTGAGATCAGTGTCTCACAGGTTTTCGGTGAGGGAAACAGGTGCATAAGAGGCATCCTCTCACCGTCCATAGCGATTGCTCTGTGAGTCATGGCACTGCTGAGTCGGTTGGCCTCCTCAAGATCCTGCTGATTGCTTGGATCTAGCATTATGATTACATGGAAATTCCCATCCCCTGCATGAGCAATTATGGGACTGAGATGATGGGGCAAAAAAGCGTAGAAACAACAAAACAATGAAGCTTGTGAGCAAAGGGTTTGCAGTTCGTAATAATAACAATACATTAAAATTGAAACGATAATTACGATAAAGTTTTCTTTTATTTTTAATAAAAGTAATCTATATTCTTCTCTCAATCTTCGCTTGCATATATTCTATCTTGTCCTCTCGCTACTCTATGTATAGCACGGGGGAACACCTACCAGACCTGGAACTCTCCACAGCCCACGGGGTAGGTTTGCACCACAGCAGTGGTGCGAGAGCAAGGCTTGTATCAGCCCCTCATCACGATGATGCAGGGTGATCAGGCATTGCCGACGGGGGAAACCGGCGATGCTAGTGCACAGCACCTTTGGCCAGTCACTTGCACCTCCCCCTACCCCCCTCCAACCCCACATTAGCGGTGTCTAATGGCAAATATCATTGCTGCATAGCAGCCAACAATATTTGGCCAAGGTCCTGCCAACGCTGGCTTGGAGAGCCCATGGGTTATCTCTAGCTTGCAGAACACCAAGCTTGCCCAGGCACGTACGTGAGGCCAATGGGGATTGAACCCATGACCTCCTGAATGCAACTTCTGTGCCTTGGCTGCATGTACTTGACAGTTAATCCTTCCATGGGAAGCAAGCAATGCTGTTGGGGCTCTTTGGGCCGTAACGTGGGGAAGCGTAGAGTACAAGAGTACTATTATGTTGCTTTTGAAGGGACGCTGGGCCAGATTCTCAGCAGGTGATGCTCACCACCAATAAAAAGGAGACTGTTCCAAAACAAAATTTTTTAAAAAAAAGGAATGATACAGGGAAGCCTGTTTCTTAAACCACTAGTACCTTTCCCACGTGGGAAAATAGGGAAAACTGGCAGTTTTCCCAATCGCCTGAATTTCCGGACAGAAAAAAAAAGAAAAAAAAGGAAAAAAAAAAGGAAAAAAAGCTAGGCTACCAGCCGGTCCGCCTGGGTCCCGGGTGACCAGCCCGTGCAAGGACCAAGGAAGGTCCCAGCAAAAAA